GGAGGCCCATGGGCAGCTTCTTTGTGGAGGCCCCCCTCATTATAACTACCCAAGAGGGTGGGGTGGCGAGTGAAGCGAGCCTAAACATCTGGAAGTTCTAAGGGGCGCTGTAAGCCCCCCGGAAATTTTTTTTTTATTTGAACACTTCTTTGGAGAATTTTGAAGCCATATGCAGTTATATTGAGGAAATTAGAACATTGAGAAATTTTTAATTAACTGTATAGTTATTGATAGTGTACAAATTCCCAACACACACAAACACACACACAAAAGTGAGACATGACTGGAGACGTGATGGAATAGATAAACATGAATTTTAAAGAATGAAAATATAAATAATCCAAATGAATAAACATATAAATAAAATATTGTAATATGTGGAGGCCCCCAGATTGTGGAGGGCCCTGGGCAGCTGCCCACTTTGCCCACTCCTGAATCCGGCCCTGCTTTGAGCGAACCATACACTTGATATTACAATTTTTGTATCCTTCCTGTACATGATTTGCAACAATAACTGTAGAGTAAAAGTTGCAATATTATACTAATAACACTGTCATGTATTGATACTATGACTAGTTACCAAGATACAGAGCACGATGAACATAACATGATAATGATAGTGAAGCCTGGAAGGGTTCATATCATAATTTGTGTGTTCGTGAGTATGTCGCCCCGTGAGAGTTAACGTGGGCCTCCATGTGCCCAGGTGGGATGGTCAAAGTATTACACTATAAGTGTGTCAAATGGGGAGTGACTGATCCACATGTAATTTAAGGTTTTTGAAATATGTAGTTAAATTAAACACGATTTTTCATATAGTTACGAGAATGATGGGAAATAAAAGATATAGATGGGGTGTGGTGGAATCATCGTGGTCTGGCCACAAGCGCTGCAAACGACATGTGGATTCACTGGGTGGTTTGGAAGTGTTTATTTCCATTCATACTTTCGTAACTACAACCTATGGTAATTTTATCTTCTTGTTCATATATAATGAAGATAATGCAGAGTATAAAATGCCATATACAATATTTATACATAATATCATCTATAGAGCCGTACTATGACTGTGTTGTTCATGCGTGTGTTGCTTCGTGATAGTTAGAGTGGGCCCCCGTCCAGAAAGGATACTGTACTAACCACCAGCACCGACCCAGGTGGGCTAGAGAATTTGGTTTCCGAGTGTACAAAGGTACTGGGTCAGATAAAAAAAAAAAAAAAAAGAGAGTAAATCAATAATTACTGTAGTTCTATTTTCTGGTGTATCCCGGCACTGACGGAACAAAGACATGAACTTACTCCTTCCCGGGCCGGCGGAAGTTGTTTGGACACTCTTCCTAGTCCCCTTGGTCCCTGTTCACCTAGCAGCAAAGTAGGTACCTGCTGTAAATCGGAAGTTGCGAATTCGTATTCAGGGACAAGTTGTTGGAGCTTCCAATAACTTGCTTAGACATAAACTATTGACTCTTCAGGCTTCTACGCCCGCGACTCTTCAGGTTTCTACGCCCTCGACTCTTCAGGCTTCTAAGCATTCTACTCTTCAGGCTTCTACGCCCTTAACTCATGAGATATAAGGCAAGCATGAATTTAGCATGCTTCCCTGTTAGGCGCTGTAAACGCTTCTGCGCTTCACCTTACACAAGGATGTAAGGTGCCCAATAAAAAAAAAGAAAAAAAAAGAAAACTTACTCCAAATCTTATGGATCAACTTGAGACTCTACATCGCTTGACAGAATTCAAAATACACTAATAGGGATTATTACCAAATTTAAGGTATCCAAATATTTATTACGTTTATCAAAACTGACAGAGATTAACATACAACATAAGTGGTGGATAATTCCCTCACCTTTTAAACATAGCTTACGGCTGAAGCTCTTTTGATACTCATACAATAATCTTTTATGGAAGGCAGTTTCTGAAAATGAAATTGACGTTTAATTATTTCTTCATAATGTAGTTATTGTTATTGATTTGTCAAGATAATCTAGCTTGGTCACTTTTGTGGGGGACAACTGACTCTACCAACTCAGTCAAGGATACAAAGGCTACTATAACAGCAATACGGGAAGTGAACATAATTATGTGAATGAATAAACAATGAATGTTGGGAATGCATTTGTGTTAAGTGTACACACAAGACACAGTCATCATATCTCTCACATGACATTGAATTATCACTAAATACGAGGCGACATCACAGCGGAATTGCCTTTTTCTGTGACAAGGAACAAACATAAGGGGAAAACGATTACCAAATGAAAAATAATTCTTCATTTAATTTGAATCCATCTATAAGCATTCGTGTATGAATGTTAATTGTATTTACATTGCAAAGCCAAAGGTTCAGAATACAGAGCATCAATTCAATTCGCCATATGGAGAAAGAAGAGCTTGCCTGCAGGAGTTGTATGATAATCGTACCTGCAGTTGGATGATTATACTGTACATAATTCTAAGCTTCAAAGAGGGAAGTTAATACAGTTTTCTATTGGCATCTTTACTGTAATATCTTGACTCCACTAAACGCTAAAATATGACAAACATTTTAAATATCCCAGTTCGTCAGACTAGCCATAGCTAGGTTCAGGTTGGTAGGAGGGTGAGGGCCCATAGGAGGGTGAAGGCTGGTAGGCGGGGTACTGGGCCTCGCCCTCATACTCAACTTGAGCTACGAAGCCAGAGTCGCCGTTGACGTAATAATTTACTCTCTCGAGACGACCGTCGGGAAGCTGAACGTAATAGTTGCCCTCAGTGTTGTAGCCGTCACGTGATTCTTGGTGACCGAAGTCGTTGCCGTTGTAGTCTTTCACGGCGTAGTTGAAGTCGTACCTGGGAGGATCCTGGAACAAGACGACAGTGGTTCATTCTCTTACGTACCAACACTATGCCACTCGCAAAACAATGTTAAACCACGCATGCCAAAGTCTACTTGTGTGATTATTTGGTTTCATCAACACCAACACTTACTCCGGCATACTTAGGAAACACGTGTAAACTCACCACTGGGCTGGGGGGAACATAATCAGGTCTGGCCAGGGTGACGACCACAAGGGCGGCCAATACGATAATTTGCTGTTGAGAGAATGTGGGTATTAGTTAGCATAATGTTGTAATATAGATCAATGGTAAGAACCATTACAAAACATTATAAATCTAAACGTAACGTGAGGCGCTCCCATTCAGCGTTATACATCTTTACACCATAATGACGCTCATCACTAACTAACCAATTTATGATTAATTTATTTCTTGTTTATATAACCCTAAAAAGAACACCGGTCATCTCGGCAAGTTGTGGTCAGGTGCAGGAAATACGTTTTGATGTTGCTGTCAGGAGGTTGACCCTCAAGTGAGTGTCACACCTCACCACAGTTGTGTGTACCTTCTGAGCCATGTTGGGAGGAGCTGTGATGCCTGCTGGCGGGAACAAAGGTTTTTATACTGCTGTTGCGGCCTTCTTGTTGCCTCACACCTCAGACAATTGATAAAAAAGTCTCAGTAACCTATTTTTCATGGTCTGTATGAAAGACATCATTGAACTTTATGACCGTGATAACACTCTTATGTAACTGTGGTGAAGAGAAGCAAGGGTTCTCCCTCATATTAAAAAACGATGTAAATGTTATTATTTTCGTTTAATCGATCCAGCACAGTACGTTTTAGGCGATGGTGTATCGACCTAGAAATTTCCTAACTCGAGCAGACTTTATATTAATATTTTTTTTTAGTACATAAAGAGGCACTGTGGTCGGTATAGCACGCGACCAAATGCACTTCCTCATTCACAACTAAGTGGACTGGGAGACCCTAGGAGTGAGCCAGTGACCCTCAGGAGTAATGTATCCTGACCTAAGTCGGTTAAAATATCAGAAGGCGAAACATCGTAAGCAATACATCCGGTACTTCAACGTCCTTTACATACAGTAAATAAACATCAGGAGCCGAAACATCCAATGACACGACAATGAAAATCACCCAAACCACAAGAATTTACCTCGTGACTGCTTCGTTTTGCTGTCACGAACATCTTCACTGGGACTCAAGACGGACATGAATGGTGGAGGTCCAACAATATGGCAATAGAAACAAGTGGCAAAACACTACGAAAATAGGGAACTAAAAACTAATTGACTGAAAAATACTGTATTTGACACTGGATATTTTCTTTGTGATTTTCAATGCTAATTAGGAATAATTTGTTTCCATTTTCAGTTATTATCAGATATTACCGCAAGTAATAGTGTTCTTAACATATTCATAGTCTCTTATAGCAAATTTCATTGCAGTGAAAAATTTTCAATCCTCATTTAGGCAATATGTTGGGAAAAACGATAATACTCGTCTAAACAGTAATAGAATTTTGTACATGTATATATACATGTACGTAGAGCGAGGGGGCGACATGATAGAGGTGTATAAATGGAAGTCAGGGTTAAACAAAGGGGACATTACAAAGGTACTTAAACTATCCAACCAGGAGCGAACTCGTAACAAAGGTTTTAAATTAGACAAATTTAGATTTCGGCGCGAAATAGGTAAACACTGATTTGGAAACATTAATGGATGAATGGAACAAGTTACCAAATATTAACATTAACTCGAATACGCTGGATAGCTTCAAACATAGGTTGGATGCATATATGAGCAATTGGGGTTGGGTGTAAATTGGACTACCCAGTATGGGCCAATAGGCCCGCTGCAGTTTCCTCCATTCTTATGTTCTTATCTTGAGCACACACAAAATCTTTTGTATATTATTGTATTATTAATGTATTTGAACTGTAATCACACATAATTAAAGAATATTTATATTGTTGTACCTTTATTGACGTTGATAAACTAGTAGTGTTTCTCACGCGTCAAGTAGCGCGCACTTGACAACCAAATAACTGTGAATGTTCCGACGTGATTTCCTTGGTTCAGAAGTTGAGTTACGTAAACTTGGAGGGTGACAACGAGGTATATAAGGCAGCAGCAGTAAGGTAGAGCATTAGTCATACTCACAGCATGACTTACAAGGTACAGTTTAACTTGTGTGTTTTTGTGTCTCCCAAAATTGAACTGGAACGAATACTGTATAGAATAGATAGTTGGTCTTGTGGTATAAAACTGTTGTTTACTTAATGAAATAACTTGAACACTCGAGCATATTATTCATAGTATTGTCTCTGGTTATGTTTGTGATATAGAATAATATATCAAGATTAAAGGCATCGTAAAAATATCGTCTGTCTAATGTAAAAAATGGAGATATGATACGAGGTTTTTGTTTGTCCTTAACATGATTTATATAATAGTCTTTCCGTCAGGTACTGTTCTTCGCCGCCCTCGTGGCCGCCACCTTCGCCAGTCCTCAGTATGGCAACCCCAGCCCAGTGGTAAGTTCAAGCCGTTTTTTTCTTATCTTCGGAGTTGATGATCATAATTTAAAATAACCAGACGTGTGGTACAGTTTTGTGGAAATACTAAATATTTCGTTTACAAAGACGGTAAAGTAATGGCATCTTGTTCCAGGATCCTCCCAGGTACGACTTCAACTACGTCGTGAATGACTACAACGGCAACGACTTCGGTCACCAAGAATCTCGTGACGGCTACGACACCCAGGGCAACTATTACGTTCAGCTTCCCGACGGTCGTCTTGAGAGAGTAAATTACTACGTCAACGGCGACTCTGGCTTCGTAGCTCAAGTTGAGTATGAGGGCGAGGCCCAGTACCCCGCCTACCAGCCCTCACCCTCATATGGGCCCTCACCATCTTACCAGCCTGAACCCAGCTATGGCTAGTCTGTTGAATTATGTTGTACATTTTACTTATTTTAACTGTAATTATAATGCCATAAAGAACAATGCTTATGAAGTATTTTTTTTCCCTTTTCATGTATTTAATTGAAAAATTGCCCGGCGAAAATATTTTGGGGGGATTTTGTATTCACTTGAATTTTAGAGTCATTCATGCCGGTGTGAATAATCAATCGAGAGAGGGAGATTGTTTTCTAGTGAAACATAAAAGTTAATGATAATATTATACCATTCGAATTAGTTATAATGTACAGTATATACAGTAAGTAATCTATGTGCTTAAGTATAAAAACTTACACGAACTATTAAGAACCTTTACGATATCCACCCCTTTATTGAGATGAACAAATATCACAATATCTATGAAACGTCAGAATACTGGCCGTGTCACACCTCTCCCCCTCTTACGTCACAACAAAGTCACTGGGTTGCTGGCTGAAGTTCAGGTAAATGACATTGCAATAAATTTCACTTGAGGAAATTTTTACAATACTCTTAAGCATTCCTTTATTTGTTGTTGTTTTTGTATACGTTTCTTGTTCTTTCTAATAACTTGTGTATTTTGTATTTAAGTTATAGTTTAGTTTATGACATCATCTTATTTGAACTGATGATTAAACATCCTAACGCTTATTAGAGGGGGTTAGGTTAGGTTAGGTTAGGTTAGGCTAGGTTAGGTTAGCATTAAGGTGTTTAATCATTAGGTGAAACAAGCTGGGGTGTCTAATCTTCATGATATCCATGACATATTTAAGGTATTTAACTTACTGTTAATTAAGAATGGTAATGCTGTTCTAAGGAAGACACGCGTCTGAGCTTCATATTACTCACACATCCTAAAGTTTGATGAAAAGTAAGACACCAGATAACGCTATAGAAGTCACCAGAGAGGACGGGTCTCTTGGCTCACGAAAGGGAAGACATTTATTCTGGGTCACTTTGATGTTGAGTAAGAAAGTGGATGGAAATAGTTTCGACAGGATTAAAAAAGAATAAGTGAACTCGAATTTATTAATTATCATTGGTGGATTTCTTTATCATTAAATAAACAGATTTTAGTCATAAGTGAATGACTTGGTATTGCTGTTTTTATACAGTATAATGACAATGTCTAAAATCTCACAGGAGTTTTTGTAAACGTGTTTTATTGAAATCTCTGAACTTTGAAATTTAAAAGAATTTGAAAGTATTGGGGAAAAAATCATCAAGACTTTTAAGCTGTTCTGTACAAGTGATAACTGATAATTCTTTAATGTGCGAAGAGAAAACATAACAAACAGGGGTTTAAGAGATCGTCAACCTCAACTTGAAATTGATTGTGAAAATAGGCCTTCTGTCTCTTAATGTGATGAAACTTTTTGCAAACTGTATTTTAAAACTTTGAGGAAACCTAAGAACAACCTGGAAGTTGAAGTTGCATAAATAGCGGGAACCTGACACTCACAGTCACGGTGGGTCGTGCTCAATATACCCGCAAAGTTTGTGTTGTATATCGGGAGAAAAAACACCACTGACCAAAAACTTGAAATGTGAAAAGTTTTGACTTGGACAATTAAGTAATAAAAAAGAAAATAGCAAGGAAGGAGTTGTTGGCAGGTGCTAGAAATAAACCAATGTGTTTAATAGTGTATTGTAAACAAGAGTAAGAGTAGCGAGTAGAACATCCGAGTCATTATGTCTATATGCAATGAAGTTTGCACTCAATTGTCATCAACAGATCATTAACATTACTTTAAGACAGTAATATTGATTATAATCTCTTAACGAGTAAGTATTCATGAATCGTTGCTATAACCTAAAAAACACACTGTTTTTAAAGGTCCGGATACTTATTTACCTTCTATATGACTGTTTGGCTGGTGTTACATGATAATTGTAACACAGTTTGATATATAAATAGAATTGAAAGTCTTTCACGAGGAAGTTTCATAAAAGGAACTTAAAATAATGTCATCTACTTTTATTGTAATATCTTAACTCTAATAAAATTAAGATATATGACCAACATTTGGAATAATCCAGTTCGTCTGACTAGCCATAGCTGGGTTCAGGCTGGTAAGGGGTGAGGGCTAGTAGGCGGGGTAGTGGGCCTCGCCCTCATACTCAACTTGAGCTATGAAGCCAGAGTCGCCGTTGACGTAATAATTTACTCTCTCGAGACGACCGTCGGGAAGCTGAACGTAATAGTTGCCCTGGGTGTTGTAGCCGTCACGTGATTCTTGGTGACCGAAGTCGTTACTGTTGTAGTCTTTTACGGCGTAGTTGAAGTCGTACCTGGGAGGATCCTTGAACAAGACTACAGTGGTTCATTTTCTTACGTAACAACTCTGTGCCACCAATCAAATTTTTGAGCCAAAATGCACACATAAATCTACATCACTTGTGTGATTTTGTGACTTTCTCGACATTTACATAAACTTGAAAATTAAACGTGTGATAACTGACCACTGGGCCGAGTCGGCCATACACTGGGCTGGCCAGGGTGGCAGCCACAAGGGCGGCGAAGAACAGAACCTGGCGGAGAATAAGTTGCTCGGACATAATTTGCGGGAGAAAGAAATGGCAATGCATTTTCAATTTAAGACAATAGCATCTTTCTTTTGAATATATATATATATATATATATATATATATATATATATATATATATATATATATATATATATATATATATATATATATATATATATATTTAAGTATATTCCTGTCGATTAAACACTGACATATAAAGATAAAGACTGATGATGTGGACGCTGGAGTAAGTAGCGGACAAGTTAGTACACGAAGAGGACTACATCATGAAATAATTAGTTAAGTTTTGTGGGATATAAACACAGAAGGTGAATTGTACCATGTACAGTAAGTCATTTGAGGAGAGTAACAGCGATGCTCAACTTTAGTGATGCTGCCTTCTATACCTCACCGACGACTTCCCAAGTTTATGTAACTCAACTTTTGATTTAAAAAATTCACGCTGGAACGTTTATTAATTACTAGGTGTAAATGGTGTGGAACAGAGCAACGCATAACGCTTGAGAAACACTCATTTGTTATCAATGTCAAGGAAACAATGAAACCTTGGTCACGTAGAGAGCGACAGGAATTTTCTGCAATGTTGTTTGTTTACAGTTCAGTTACATTACTGATATCCAAATGGTTTTTTTATTATAACGGTCATGATAAACGCAAATTTTCAAAATATATAAAGCGATGAGAATTACAGTCAATCTTTATTTGAGAAAAGTAAATAAACGTACAGAGATAAGTCTGGAGGATGGACAGGTCGGTTCCTCCTCTCATATTGCTTGAACAATGAAAGAGAAATATTCACCACGAACGAATTGTACAATTTTAAGACCGTTTCTAAAATCATTTGTATTTGATGATAATCGTAAGGGCCTAAAAATTAAAATAAATTACGCCTGATTAACACAAAATATCCACAAACGAGTATCTGAAGTTAGATACAGAACACGGAATAAGTAATGTCAAGTCAAATGTCATTCCGTGCATGTAGTTTACACTGTTTTATTTTGGCGTCATCTTGCTGCACTGTATTCCTTCACCCAGGTCCGCTAAGTCTCATTGGAGGTGTTCGTGACAGAAGAAACCTCGAGGTAAATTCTTGTGGTTTTCAGGATTTTCGCGGTTGTGTCATTGGAAGCTTCAGCCTAGGATGTTTAAGTGAAGGACGTTGAAGTATCGGATGTCTTTATTTACGGCCTTTTAGATCTGAACGTTTCGCCCTAGTTAAGTTAGGCCAGGAAACGTTCACACGCAAACGCTATAGACTAAACCGACCTGCAGTGGATCGTATTATTTTAAAATTTCCGAACCAGATGCATGTGCCTGACTAATTCTACGACGGGCATATTTTCCATCCGTTATGACATGTTTGTGGTCAGTTCACCGAAATCACGGACAAGACGGAAGAGATGTTTCTTTCATGATCAAATTAGAAAATAAAATTTGTTAACATTTCATAGTTTCAAGACTTCTCGATATGTATTGAAACTTGATTTTCCAATTTCTCATAATTGTTAGTAACTATATTAACATTTATATAGTTTATATCAGGAGTGAACCTAGCCTCTCAACAGTGTTACATAAGAGTGTGATCACACTCAAAAAGTTCATTCTTTTCTTTTGCCCAGGTTAAAAAATCATTTCTAGCTGATTTTTCAATTGCCAAAGGTGTGATGCAACATGAAGGGCGCGACTGCAGTATAAAAGCGTTTGTTCCCGTCAGCAGGCACCACAGCTCCATTCCACCATGGCCCAGAAGGTACTGTACACACAGTTTAAGTGGTGAGGTGCGACACACACTTGAGGGTCAACCTATTGACAGCAGCGATACACCTTGTATTCTCGACATAACTATAAGGCTTTTCTAGATGATCGAAGTATTCTGAACCGTAATAGAATAAAAAAATATGAAAAAAGTAACGAGTTAATAAAATTATAATTTTGTCAAAACTTAAAACAACAAAAACAATTTGCTTATAGGTTTGAGTTTAGTGCCAAAGAGAAATGTGCATATAACTAGCACAAAAAACTTTTTGTTAGGTTCAGATTTTTACATTTTCATAATATCTCTCCGGCGGTGCTTTTACAACATTATGCTAACTAATACCCATATTCTCTCAACAGCAAATTATCGTTTTGGCCGCCCTTGTGGTCGTCACCCTGGCCAGACCTGATTATGTTCCCCCCAGCCCAGTGGTGAGTTTACATGTGTTTCCTAAGTATGCCGGAGTAAGTGTTGGTGTTGATGAAACCAAATAATCACACAAGTAGACTTTTGCATGCGTGGTTTAACATTGTGTTGCGAGTGGCATAGTGTTGGTACGTAAGAAAATGAACCACTGTCGTGTTGTTCCAGGATCCTCCCAGGTACGACTTCAACTACGCTGTGAATGACTACAACGGCAACGACTTCGGTCACCAAGAATCACGTGATGGCTACAACACTGAGGGCAACTATTACGTTCAGCTTCCCGACGGTCGTCTCGAGAGAGTAAATTACTACGTCAACGGTGACTCTGGCTTCGTAGCTCAAGTTCAATTTGATGGCGAGGCCCAGTACCCCGCCTACCAGCCCTCACCCTCGTATGGACCCTCACCCTCCTACCAGCCTGAGCCCAGCTATGGCTAGTCTGACGAATAGGAATGTTTGAAATATGAGTCATATGTTAGCATTTAGTGGAGTCCTTACAATAAAGATACCAATGGAAAACTGTATTAACTTACCTCTTTGAAACTTTGTTATGCGAAACTTTAAATTATGAATAATAATTCACCTGTACGATTTCCACGTAACACCACGCCAGGCGGTTATAAATATTCTTGAAAAATGTGTAGATAAATACCTATAATGCAATAAATAGCTAGATAGACTTTTTAATCATCCAATGTGATCTTTTTGAGGTAAGACAATTATTGCACTCATGCACACATTTGATTTACGTTACGTAATTTAAACTCAATGATTTATTTATTACATTTCCTGCCAGTGTTTCTCTCCTTTCTGTTTCACGTAATGTAAATTTCTTCACGCGTAGTTTAATTTTTTTTTTTTTGTTACAAGGTACTGAACAAAATTAACTCTGCCGGAACTTAGAGCATGACGCCACTCTGTAAGTGTTATTGCTGTCAGGTAAAATATCTAGTTTCCTAGACTTGAGGCGTTTTTTTTTTATTCTAGGTCTTGTCTATTCTTTTTTTTTTTCAGTTCAGCAAATATAATTCTCCTCATTCAGAGATAAACTGCCCAGTTTAACAAGACTTCTCTAGATGAGGCTTATTATTATATCTTAGGTACAGGTAGATTATTTTTACTCTTCACATAAAAAAGTCCAGTAAACACACGCTACAACCTTGATACAGGACAACTATATATCCAGTTCTTGACCAGATTTTTTAGTTATTACGAATCTCAAAGTCTGTTCTAAGTTGTGCAAACCTAAATATAATTAATTTTTCCCAGCTTCCCGGTAAAGTGGTAACCCTGGTGTGTTGTGTCCGTGCAGATTAAGATGATCTTGAAAACCAACAAACACACACATGTTTAAAGAGATGAATTACAAAAGTTCGACAACAGTTTATATAAAGATGAATAATATATTATGGATAACAGTGATGTTCTCTTTCGTGTCAATGACAGATAATTATTGTTTGAAATAACAGAAAATTTGGTGATCTCTGATGATGAAAGTCTCTATAAATGCAATTATAATTTGTTAGTGACTTCTCGATGTTTTAGCTGAGACATCATTAACTTAAGTTCATGAATAATAAAAAGACAAATTGATACTGGGAACATTGGATTATTTAAACAAACAGATACAATGTGTATGAAAATACAATAGGTTATTCGGAAAAAGTTCTGATGAAATCTATGACAGTCTTTGTGTCAGAAACACAATCCCACATCATTAAGTTATGGCTAACATCTGTTTATTGCTAAAGTTAAAGGAAAATATATGAATGTTAATGAAGCAATTGGACTGATGAACAATTTGAATTAGATTTTCAAAACAATTTAATCTTTGATCTATTTCAATATGATAACTGAACCTCACGTCCAAGCCTGAGAGGAATGGGTACAGCTCCCTAGTGGCTGTAGCTTCACGTGGGCTGCCTTAATGATCGTGAAACTTAGGGACGTGTTATTTATGTGAAGATAACACGAATATGTCTTCTTATAAACAACTTAATGATTTATCCTTTCATGTAAATTTAAAGTCTTCCCAGATGCTTCAAAGATCATCCTAAATATTTGGGAGAAAATCGTACCTGAGTTCCTGAAAATTTACAAAGAAATTACAGATTCGTTGAGCAAAAGTTCTTTTTTTTATGAAAGATTATTGCCATGTCATCGATAGAATTTCAGCCATGACTAATTTATTGTGAGGTAAGAGGGAGGTGAATGTTTTCAACCCTCAAGAGAGTACAGAATTAAATAACATAAGAACATAAGAAAGTGGGATACTGCAGGAGGCCGACTGGCCCATGCAGGCAGAGATCCCTTTCACACCCATCCCAGCACTTCCATGTGCCTATCCAACTTCGTCTTAAAGCCTCCTTTAGCGTCCCTGGGATCCTACCATATAGCACTCGGTAGCCTATTCCACATATCCACAACTCTATTACCAAACCAGTGCTTGCCTCATATATCCTTTTTCTGAATCGGAATTTATCTAATTTAAAGCCATTTGTTCTAGTTATTTCCGTTATTACTGAGCTTTTAGAACATCTTCCATTTTACCCTTGTTAATCCTGACTTACCCCACTTGTACACCCTCATCATATCTCCCTAAGAAACTCTACGCCTCTCTAATGAATGTGCTTCCGCTTTTCAGTCTTTCTTCATATGGAAGGTTTCTAATATTATGGATCATTTTGCTGGCCTCTTCTTTGTACTCTCTCCCAAAGAATCTATGTCCATTCTATAATAAGGACACCAGAACTGAACCGCATAATCCATGTGTGGCCTTACCAATGCTAGTAAAGTTTCAAGATAACGTCAGCAGTTCTTAGTTACTCACAGACCCAGATATGAACCGCAATCCTTGCTTGGCTCGGTTATAACGCCGCTAATACATTGTTTTCAGGTTTCAGTCGTTACAATAAATACACTCCAGATCTTTTTTCACAAACTGAGTTTTCTATTTCGTGTTACCTAGTTTATGTACTTAACGTTTGTATCGTCTTCCCATCTGTAGTACCTTGCATTTATCAGTATTAAAATTCATTTGCCAGTTTACGACCACTCATGTAAGGTATCTAGATCTCTTTGAAGGTGTTCAAAGTCACCGGTTCGAATTTATCACTCTCCCCATTTTGGTATCATCTGCAAATTTACTAATCCTACTAGTTATGCTTCAAATCACATCATTAATGAATATAACAAACAGCAGAGGCCTAATATGATCCCCGGGGAACTCCGCTTTTGACCGCACCTCAGTCTGACTTAATCCATTTATGCTGACTCTTCGTTTCACTAAAGTTAACCATGACCTAATCCATTTTAATACTGATCCAATTTATTCCATGTGTCACCTTCCTTATCAATCTCATGAGGATTCTGAATAACGCTTACTAAAACTCCAAATAAATTATATCATATGACTTATCATTATTCAACAAGCTCTTGCTGTTGCTACTTCTTATAAAAAAGCTACAATTTGTAGAGACAAGAACGTCCTGTGAACCCCGTTGAGAAGAATGAATTGCTGAATGTTTGCTGCGGCTTCTGATTTGTAGCAATAATTGACTCTAGCAACTTGCCTAAGTAGATGACGTGAGACCAATGTACGGTAATTTGATGCTAACATTTATCAATTTTTTGAAAATCGAACCACATTTGCAAAAGTTTCAAGCTTCTGGCACTTAGGCCCGATTCCTAATGACTTATTAAATAAAACTGCTAATGGATTACTCAACTCATCTCTACATTCTTTAATATTCTAGCATATACCCTGCCTGGACCAGGCGATTTATGAGGGCTTCAGTTTGTTAATACTTTACGCATATCGCAAGTAAGTTACAGTAATATTGATATTCATCAAATGGTTTTCATACTGTCGTTATATACCTTATGAACTTCTGAAACTTGTGCTAGGTTTTCATTTGTGAACACGGAGCGAAAAATGACTATTTAACGTATCACACATTTCTAACTCATCATCAGTCATTTCTCCCGTCGTAGTTTTAAGGACCTATTGCATTCTAACCTTTGATTTATACAGTTGATAAAAAGCCGTAGTTATTTTTTTCGATCTGTTTCATACCTTGATTTCATATAAATTTCTCTTTGCTTTCCTAATTTCTGTTTTTACCTGTCTTGTTAGGTTCCTGATAGTAACCAAGTAAGGGATTTTCCGCCTTTCTTAACTTTTCTATATATACTCTTTTCTTTTTCCCTAGAAGATCTAAGAGTCTATTATTCATCCATTTTGGTTGGTTCCGTATCGATCTGAATTTTCTTTTAGGGATGTGTTTATTTTGGGCATTATTGATTGTCGCAATAAATTGTTCATAAGTAGCTGCTAAATTAAATTCGGGGTTATCCCGTCCTAAGTTGACAGTTTCCTGAGGTGTGGGGGGGATTAATCTTTTGACCATAGGGTCATCCCTTAGGTCTCTCCTTAAGCTACCGTAATTAGCCTTCCTAAAATCCGGGATCAAGGCCGAATTTTCCTTCTTCCTGCTATCCCATATTATGTTAAAATATATGGCTTTATGATCACTGTTTCCTAGTTCGTCTACAATCCCAACATCTTTTACTAGATTTTCATTATTACTGAGAACTAAATCGAGGATATTATTTCCTCTAGTGGGCGAGTTTATGAATTGATATAAAAAACTATCTTGTACTACTTCTAGAAAATCTTCAGATTCATTATCGCTAAGTTGATTTTTCCAATCTATGCCTGAAAAGTTGAAATCGCCTAGAATACATACATTGTTTCTATCAGATGCCTTCTTTATTTCCTCCCATAGCAATTTACCATCGTTCCTACTCAAATTAGGTGGTCTATATATAACACCAATGACTACGGATTCACTGCCCTCACCAATCTCTACCCAAATACTTTCATTGTCGCTATTTGTTTTAATGTTTGATTTATTGCAGCTTTTTAATGACACCCTGATATACACTGCTACACCGCCACCTCTCCTTCCTACTCTGTCAGATTTAAATAGGTTATATCCTGGAATATGAAATTCTGCTAAAAAATGCTTGCTGTTTGAATTTATCCATGTTTCCGTTATTGCAATTATATCTATGTTCTCTTTACTAACAATGGCCCTGAGCTGGTCCATTTTGTTACACAGGCTTCTACTATTAGTATAATAAACACTCAATATATTTCTTCCGTTTCTATCTGTTTTACATTTATTACTTTGATGTTTGTTATTATGACGAACTATATTTTCAGCATTATCTACTTCTGTTTCACTACTTCCCAGGACCTGCTTGTTTTTTGACTCCCATTTTCCCCGACCCCTCTCTACTGGCGAAACCCCCCCTTCGGAGTGACAATTTCACGCTCCAGGGATGCAGACAACGTCTTTACCCCCTCACGAGACAAGTGTACTCCGTCGCGACAGTACAGGTAGTCGTTGCCATAAAATCGTTGCCAGTCATCAATGAATGCCCAACCATTGTTTGCACAATGTTTTTCCAGTCGGCAATTAATAGCAATTGCCCTGGACAGCCATTCACGACCAACCCCTCTTCTAGGCAAGACACCACATACTATCGGGATCCCTCCCCTATCTCTAATCTTCCCCAGCGCCTCCCTATACCTCTTGAAAAGTTCCTCACTCCTAACCTTACCTATGTCGTTTCCTCCCACACTAAGACTCGTTCTTATGAAGTTTTAGATATTCCAAAACTATGACGAGTTCCTCAAAGTGCCAATACGTAATACCTGTGGAATATTTAGCGTTATATTACCAATTTTAAAGATTTAATCTAAGCATCAACCCTACTGATCCACTACTATGGGACCTGATTAATCTATCTCTCTTTCAGCAACATTCACGACGTATTCAGTAAAATGAGGTGATTATGAATGACATTTTAAGATAATTATATCTTTATTCTATCATAATGATTACATTTCGCTTAGTAAAAGTATATTTTTGTTCAAATTAGTCTACTTCCCAGTTCGTCAGACTAGCCATAGCTGGGTTCAGGCTGGTAAGATGGTGATGGCCCATATGAAGGTGAGGGCTGGTAGGCGGGGTACTGGGCCTCGCCCTCATACTCAACTTGAGCTACGAAGCCAGAGTCGCCGTTGACGTAGTAATTTACTCTCTCGAGACGACCGTCGGGAAGTTGAACGTAATAGTTGCCCTGGGTGTTGTAGCCGTCACGAGATTCTTGGTGACCGAAGTCGTTGCCGTTGAAATCTTTCACGGCGTAGTTGAAGTCGTACCTGGGAGGATCCTAGAACAAAACGCCAGTGGTTCACTTTACCAATCCCATAATAACACTGCACATAGCATTATGACCAATGACCGGTATGACTATGTGAGTTTCTCAGCGTTATGACAAACTTGGGAATGAAATAAACATGTATGAACTCACCACTGGGCCGGGCCGCCCATACTCAGGGCTGGCCAGGGTGAGGGCCACGAGGGCGGCGAGGAACAGTACCTGGTGGAGAATGAATTAGTCAAATAAACTATGAAGGAAACAGAGAAAAACTTAGTATAATTTCAGTGAATGATAAAGAATATTTTCTTCCAAGCTCTTGATATTGAAATATACAATTACACACATTACTGTTAAAACATCTACTGTTGTTGATATTCATTTTAAACGGAGGAAGATTAGTACCTTAAGATCAATATATCATGAAACATTTATTCTAGTTTTCCAAGACGCAAAAACACAAAATGTAAAATGTACCTTACAAGTCATATCGGGAGAGTGACAGTGATGCTCGACCTCAGTGATGCTGTTTTATATACCTCGTCTTCGACCTCCAGATTTACGTAACTCAAGTCTTGAACCAAGAAAATCATGCTGGAACATTCATTGTCTTTTATTTGTCATCGGTGTGGAAGTGAACAGTGCATGACTCGGGAGAAACATTCCCTTGTTGTCAATGTCAGGGGAAGACCCAACCCTCAATGATATTCAGAGCGTGTAATATAAAGTTCGATGTGTAGAATGAGCTGAAATACAGTAATTTTTCGGTTAAAACGTCCAGGGTTGCCGCGTCCTACAGCTAGTACAGCCCCCCGTAAGGCATGACTTGTCAGTGGTCGCAACACCGTCATCACGCTCAGCACTGGAAAGATGTATATAGTAACCAGCTACGCTACTTTGTCACCATCAAATCATAAGATATATTATTTATTCATCTCTTAAGTAATTTCGCGGATGAAAACCAATGTTTACATATTTCTTCCTTTGTACCAGTGACGACCCTGGCCTTTCAATACGTTATTATTACATAAGAATGTAATCAGACACAGAGCTCATTGTTCCCGATCACGAAAGTTAAAACTAATATATCTTACTGAATGATTTTTTACTTGTCTCAGGTGTGATGCAGCATGAAGGCCGGAGCTGCAGTATAAAAACCATCGTTCCCGCCAGCAGACATCACAGCTCCACCGAACATGGCGCAGAAGGTACACACAACTGTGGTGAGGTGTGACACTCACTTGAGGGTCAACCTCCTGAGAGCAGGGACATAGATTGTGTCCAATACCTGGTCATAATTTGGTTGGCATAACTTGTCTCGTTTGTCACAAAAAAGGGAGTAAGGGCAGAAAAGAGCACAATCCATGACTATATTTCCTCTCCATGCTAAGGATCATTATAGTAGCGGATGTGTCTCATCTGTGGATATTTTGGGCGTAGGGAACATAATTGACAGGAAGAGCTTTATGACAAGGCATCAAATATTTTACATCTACCTGTATATAATATTTCTTCATATTACACTATTTCTCATAAATAATAACCACTTTGATTTTCTCGTCAGCAAATCATCGTGTTGGCCGCCCTTGTGGCTGTCACCCTGGCCAACCCAGCTTATGTTAACCCCGGCCCAGTGGTGAGTACACGTCTTATTGTATAATTGACTGAATATTAATATTAATGCATCCAAATGGTCCATATATGAAGGGAAAATTTTGGGGTATCCAATACAATATGGTACAGGAACAGCGTTTTGAGTCAACTGCCGCTTTGTTCCAGGATCCTCCCAGGTACGACTTCAACTACGCCGTGAAGGACTTCAACGGCAACGACTTCGGTCACCAAGAATCTCGTGATGGCTACAACACTCAGGGCAACTATTACGTTCAGCTTCCCGACGGTCGTCTCGAGAGAGTAAATTATTACGTCAACGGCGACTCTGGCTTCGTAGCTCAAGTTGAGTATGAAGGCGAGGCCCAGTACCCCGCCTACCAGCCCTCACCCTCATATGGGCCCTCACCATCTTACCAACCTGAGCCCAGCTATGGCTAGTGTGACGAACATTATAACCAGTTTTACTTTACTAAATATTTATAAGGTTTTAATGAAGGCATTTTATACATTTTTGTGGTGACCATATTTTGAAATAAAGTTAATGGTGCAATATGTCTGACTTAATTATACCATCTAAAGTTGTTAGTCACACTTGGTTTGTTTATCTTGGTCTGCAAAATTGTCATATATGTTTATAGTTATATATGACTTATGGGGACACGTCAAGGATTTACAGTTGTCCCGATAATTGGTATGGGACTTGTGTGTAAAAAAAAAAAAAAAAAATATATATATATATAAATATATATATATATATATATATATATATATATATATATATATATATATATATATATATAAATATATATATATATATATATATATATATATATATATATATATATATATATATATATATATATAAAGTAATATAACCACTTCCTTTTTGAGGTTATATATATATATATATATATATATATATATATATATATATATATATATATATATATATATATATATATATATATATATATATATTGCACCTATGGTCTTATAAATTAAGTGTCACGCCATCTGTTAAACCCCCACCTTAAGCAGCAAGGAACAGACGACTTCGTTCTACGCCCTGCTGAGCTTGAGCCAGTACTAATCAGACGACTGGAGATACTCAGAAATAAACCTTCAGAATAATATGATTGATATGAAATCCACGCGAGAGTCTTTGACCTTTTCTTCTCAGTATAGAAATTCGATTGTGTTGGCCGTTTGCTGCATTCTTTCTCATGATTGTGCTGACCTCCCACTCACTCGGTCCTTGCCTTTACCTCACACACCGTACCACAGTAATTGACTTCCACCTTCTCTCCATCCTCTTCCGTATAGAGCCATAGACCGTCATAACATCGTGCTAAGTTCCTTCGTCCTCCTCTACCTTTGTCTACCTCTTCTTGCCTTTATCCTCCTCAGAAAAACAAAAACAAAATGACAGAGGAGACTTCGCATCCATCTTACTGATATCATTAACGACTGCAGCCAACGGGTTCTGCTCTGTTAATATGCTTGTTAAAACGTTTTCGTATGACCACAATGTTAATTCCATTGAGGCAGTTTATGTGTGATTTACGTTTTGTTACTGGTGCCTTCAACATCACAAAAATATAAACACCGAAACAGTTACTCATAACATTTTGATATTCATTCTCTTACCATCACAAGATACCAAAAATATACTTAGAGGAGTGTTCTTGTCGTGGATGAAACCATTCAGGACGATACCACAAAGAACACGTCCTTGCCGAGACGCTGCTACTGACGATGACCCGCGTCGCAGTACCTTGTGATGTCATTATGTTCCCAGTACAATAAATATCCCAGATAGTGTGTTCATGTATCGGGTACCCTTCTGTGTTTGTTGATCGTTGTTTTAAAAGGGCTAAAAAATCCTTTCATTCCTCTCAAACCAGACAAGTTTCTACACTTAAGAATATTTTGACTCTGCCCTATCGTAATGAATTTGTCCCGTTAGTTCGGTCCCTCAAGCTTCTAAATATTAATGTTGTTTTCAAGTATGACTCAACCATTACCAATATGTTAATAAGGAATAGCCCAAGTTTGAATGTAAATGGAAGTGTTTATTGTATTCCATGTAGCAAATGTAATTGTAATTATGTAGGTCAGACAGGAAAAACACTGCAGCTCAGAATCAAACAACATAAGTATAATATCAGAACTGCATCTGAAAGCAGTGCCTTGTTCGTTCATGTTAGGAATAATATTCACCCCATTGCTTGGGAAAAAAGCTTAGAAGTATTCAAATCCTCTTGTGTCACAGAAAGACTTCTGGTTGAAGCTAGTTTGATTAAGGAATTAAAATCAATAAACCTTAGTGATGGTCAGTTCAAAACTGATAATATGTTACATAAATTTATTTGTCAGTGGCCCAAGGTTAAAAATGCTTTGAAAACCTTTGATCTAGATGTATGATAGTTATTTTGTGGGTCCCTTTTTTCTGACCTGACCTGGCTAGTCACGTCACCACCCTTCTCTTAAGCTCCTCTACGTGTGTGTTGGTGTGGGGATTAGTGGATGTCATCATTATGACCTGACCTCATGTTTTTAAGGTCACCCTGTATATTTAAGCCTCTCTCTGTCCATGTAATCCAGTTGCCTCTGAAGATGTCTTGAATAAAGACGGAAGCTAAGGTACTCCGTTGTTTCCATTTTCCCGTGTGATTTTATCAAGATTTATCTTATCCACGTTTTCATTGTGATCTAGGTATATACTGATAACCACAAGGAAAGAAGAAAACACGAAGTTCCCAAGCGCTTTCGTGTAATTCACATCTTCAGGAGTGAGTACAGACTAAAGAGAAATACAAACCAAGGTGTATATATACAGAGGAGGGTGAGACCAGGTCCACAATGGTCAGGTATTAGGTAATGACCCTACTAATCTTTAAATAGCACACAACGGTTGGTGGTCAGGTCAGATGGTCGGGTCACCTTACCATCTGACCTGACCACCAACCGTTGTGTGCTATTTAAAGATTAGTAGGATCATTACCTAATACCTGACCATTGTGGACCTGGTCTCACCCTCCTCTGTATATATACACCTTGGTTTGTATTTCTCTTTAGTCTGTACTCACCCCTGAAGATGTGAATTACACGAAAGCGCTTGGGAACTTCGTGTTTTCTTCTTTCCTTGTGGATATATATATATATATATATATATATATATATATATATATATATATATATATATATATATATATATATATATATATATATTTCATTAGCCCAATAAAGCACGCAGACTTCTACATATAATCAACACCTCACCCCACCAAGATTCGAACCCACAATCTTATGATTGTGTCAGGGGAACGTTACCTCTGGTCCACCAGGACACTAAAAGCAGTCCTAGACTCTGTTATATTTCACAAAAAGCCTGTTCAACAAGCTTATGGCGCCGTGAACCTCTAATGGGGACTACCCCTTCCGCTTAGGTGATCAGAGTAATGCTTATTGGGCTAATGAAATATGTATGGATCCTCATGTTTCGAAGCTGGATTCGGTAAAACGTTACTCTGATAACTTACGAGGCACGGGTAGTCCCCTATTGGAGGTTCACGGCGCCATAAGCTCGATGAACAGACTTTGTGTGAAATATAACAAAGTCTAGGACTGCTTTTGTGTCCTAGTGGTCTAGAGGTAACGTTCCCAGGTCACACACATAAGATCGTGGGTTCGAGTCCTGGCGGGGTGAGGTTGTTGATTATATGTAGAAGTCCGTGTGCTTTATTGGGCTAATGAAATATATATATATATATATATATATATATATATATATATATATATATATATAATATATATATATATTACACTACATAGGGATAATTCTGAAGGGCCATACTCTATCATGTAAATAATCATAATACAGACACATACATAGGTTTAATATAAAACTCCATTCATGTGTACTATTATCGCTATAATGGGAACATGGATAGGATCTCTTACGGTATTGCAGTCCTCTGTCTTACCATAATCACTTAATAGCAAATTGAATTAACGAAACCTAAGGACTCGTTTATCTGTTTGTCAATTTATATATTTTATCTCTTTTAATCACACACACACTCTCTCTCTCTAATAAAACCTCTCCTTCTTTCTCTGTTTCATTCATGATCTCTGTCTTTCCCCTCCCTCCCACCCCTCTATTTCTCTCTCACATTCAGGCTCTGGACATGAGGTACAGTATAACGTAACTTAAAATTAAATGATAACTGTGGCAGCGTAAGAGTAGTGCCATGAAGGTCTTGGCTATCGTCATCACGTGATACTAATGAGACACAGTAACAGGAACGACTATGCTGAAAGTGAAATCATTAAAATTTCTATAATGGTTCTCAGATCCAGTTTCTTAGTAATAATAAAGAACTGGAGTGATGGTAGGTCAATATTATAAAACTCAGTACTTTAAAGTCTCAGTCCTTTCGTATACCACGTGTAAAGCGACTAAAAGTTTTTAACTGAATCAACACTAAAGACACAATAATATTTAGGTAGTTTTTCATCTCCAAAAGTCAAGGTTACTTTACACGACTTCCTATTTAATTCTGTGTACAGTATTTGAGGTGTGATATTTCGTTATTAATTTATCGAAAGCGGACACTAAACAAATTGTGTTACGGGCAGTTATATTTTATTCTTTATCTCTCTAAAGACAGATTCTTTATAATATATGGATTTTGTCTATTCTTCTTCTCTGGGGATGAAAGAGCACATCAAGGAAGAGCCTCAAACCAATTCGAAAACGTAATATTTTTTCTTGTCGCATCTAAAGAGTCGCCCACCTGGTTGAAATTTCACCTTTCACAGCTCCAAGAAACACATTAATGAATAAATTTATGAAGAATCTGAACCATGTTGTCAGGGAATAGAAAATAAATATTTGTAAAATACGTACATCTTTTGAAATAATATTACGGAACTAGTCTTGTTATTGTATATTTACATCATCTTCACAATACATTATGAAATTCACTGGAATTTACATTCTTACATTTATATCTGAGATGTAAATCGAAATAATGTCATAACGTCATTATAATCTAAATAAAAACATAGAAAGTTGTGTCTCTCTTAATATCTAATTGTTGATGAACAGTGTTCTTACTGTGCTGGCATATACGCTGTTGTTATTGAAGTGTATAACAGTAATATATTTGATATCGACATATCTAAATCTGCATAATTATTTTTGATTAATTTTAATTCATAAAACTATCATGGTTACTTGTTTATTAATTCACGTATATATACTGAAGTACTTTACATGTTACACAATATTTACTATATTCCACAGATGTTGGAGGAATTCTAGGCAGAATTGTATCATTAAACCATAAGATAATAACTATCCATAACCTTTATTTTAACCTCAACTCACTTGTACTGTCTTAATTGTATCAGTTTGTATATTTCTCTGTTTACATTTTGTTTATCACATTTGTTAAAATTTTGTCTTCTTTACTTTTGCCGTGTGGCTCCTCAATGGAACGAAGCTAGCCAATTATAGTACACGTAACGATTATAGACTTGATCGATTCTCTGTACACAACTACTTGAGTTTTCAATAAAAAATAATCAACATATAAATTATAGCTATTTCTCTATTATTCAGATTTATTCTTCATTATTATTAATTTTTGTAACAGATAACAACGTCATGAATACAGCTCCCTATATATGAGGCAGGAAGTGATCAGCGAAACGAGCCGCAACATAGACCTTAGTCCCGGGCGAGTACACCCTATACTACCAGCGTTACGTTCCAGTCACTTTCTGATCACCGTCGCGAGCACGAACTGACTCTTAATATTACCTTCTGAGGGAATACCTGGCCAATTTAGCCTCATTAAATAGCCGTGTATATCTTGAACATGCTATTGCGTGTCGAGAAGATTCAAATTTATGTATTATACCACGTAATTCTTATCCTTTTATGACTTGTCTGTTGGGGGAAATTGTAAGAGTTAGTGAAAGGTGCTTTGATAACTCTGGTAGTTGTAGTAACTAACATTACACTCGAGGAACATCAGGGTAAGATACATTATAATATTATCAAGTTTGTCATCCCTATTTGCAATGAACAGACGAACTAAGGTGGGTTAAGTACCAGGGAGAGAGAGAGAGAGAGAGATTCAGTAAAATTGCCATGCCAGTTTACATTGATTTAGTATGTATATAAGGTATCTCGGTACACAGTACACATGAACAGTCCTAGCATACGAAGAGTTTCATTTTCGACATCACCCTCTAGAACACGCCGTTAAAAGGAGACTCGAGAGACATTAATTGGAATCATTTTTGCAACATCAATCATTAAAACAGACACAGGTAAGAGATGCTGTTCTAGAAAGGGGATTATTTATATCACTAGTGGTCAGTAAACCACGGTAAAGAAACGCTAACTTACATTTTGTTTACCAATCACTCACGTACACAAGTAAATCAAACCCTTACATATTTCATAGATAATCCTAATTTATTATAAATCATTACAGTACACGAGTAAGTCAGATCCTTTCCAATATCACAAATAATATCTCCATCAATCCAGGAACTATATAACGAATTCTCACCAATATCTATGGTAATTCCTGCATAATTAAGTAGCACAGGTAAGTTGACAGTTTCACCCCCATCATCATCATCATCATCAGAACCCATTACTGTAGATTTAAATTACAAAAATAAAATCTTTAACCAACTGTTTTGCTTGATATCACGTGCATAATTCCCGGACCGAACTTACGACACTCAGCGACCAGTGACATTCCTCTTATACTGTATATTGACTTTCTTCTTAGTCATGCAACGGCGTCGCCCTAAATTAAAGCACACCATAATAACATTCCCTTCCACCTCCCCCCAGCGATTGTCTTTTCTTTTTTCTTCTTTTTTCAGTTTGGTGACGTAAGCGCAGGTCGGTTCGTAGACTTATGTAAGCTGTATAAAAGCCGACGATGGTGGTGGGAAGGTATCACTGAGGTTCCCAGCCATGCTTTGTAAGGTGCAACTCAACCTCTCTGCTCTGGTAAGGTCATAGGGTTGGGTTGGGTTGGATCACTTTTACTGACCGATAGTAGACGTGAATCGATTCTCTTTCCCCTGAGTCACGGGGCTCGGGTAGGACGGAGGCAAAAACTGGTTCTGTGATCTAGTAAATAAATGAAGAGGTTTATTAGCAGTGACAGTGTTCTGGTTTGTTGACCTGAAGATTTGAGGAGAATTCACTTTCAATTTATATAAAAAATAAAGAGACAATAGTAGAAATTTCAGTACTTGATTAGTATGAGGCTCCGATTACATTTTTTTTATTAAATTGAGAGACAGCATAACTAATTTACCATTTATTTCTTGCATTAGGTGGTGGTGTTGGCCGGTCTGGTGGCCACTGCCCTGGCCAGACCAGACATTCCACCTGTCCTAGGATATGGCCATCCTAGACCCTACACTCCAGAGCCATTGGTGAGTTCAATCTTATAAATTTTATGATTATAGGGGCTGTGACTTTGTATAACTGAAAATGTGTATAATTCATTCTAATTTAATTCAGTCTATATCATTGGAACTACTTCAATATAATACAGGATATCAACTGTGATCTTTGCTGAAAATTAGGTGGCTGCTCAAATAGTGAACTACTGTCACTCGCCATAATTTATGTTCCAGGGTCCCGCTCGGTACGACTTCAACTACGCTGTGAAGGACGACTACAATGGCAACGACTTCGGCCACCAGGAGTCCCGTGACGGCTATAACACCCAGGGCTCCTACTACGTGCTGCTTCCCGACGGTCGCCTGCAGAGGGTCACTTACTACGTTGACGGTGACTCCGGCTACGTACCTCAGATCGAGTACGAAGGAGTTGCCCAATACCCCGCCTACCAGCCCTCACCCAGCTACCAGCCTACCCCCAGCTATGGGTAGACTGTATAGCAAGACAATAGCTTCTGGCTTCTGGTGATAATTACGTCGACTTAATGTATGCTTATTAATGATTATTTAAGTTTTGTAAAGTTTAATAAAGACCTAAGTAAAGTCATGCATACCATTAACACCCATCGTGCGTTGCAAGGACTCAAGCTCGCGCCTAGTATATTATCACGAACGACCATCGCCGAGGGACATTGTACAATATAACGTAGTACCACACACACACAGCAGGTAGAGAATTAAGTCTAAAGATGAGTAATGACTTGAGAGGACACCCTTGTTTCTTTTTCTGCTTCTGGCGAAAGAAACTCAATTCAATATTGATCCAGTGTGCCAGAAAAGCCGTAGGTTTCTCTCGTGGGCTAAAAGACAATCTCTTAAACTATACTTACCAGGGCAACTTACTTTTCAATACACAAATTATTATTTTCATTTGCGTAAGAAATTAATTGTGAGGAAAAGAAATACATTCGAGATAAAAATACTTGACCACGCTGGCTCTCTGTGTCTGTGGCTCACAGGTGTGCTCACGCTCATCGGAGAAACACGATGATGAGTGTCTCCGAGACCCCATTAAGACCTATTACGTTGGATCAGTTTTAACTTCCCTATTCCAATTCAAGATCCTTCCGGGTAGGTTTCTTCCTTCTTGGCCATCCTCATTGTCGTCTTAGTCACCTACCACGTGTAAATTTGGAGTGATATAACGTAAATTGAAGCCAAAACAATATTTACAGATATGATCGTATTGTACACTATGGAGAAGAGACGCTTGCTGTGGGTAGACACTCCCGAAAGGTGAGAATGTCCAATATGTTCCACAGTGTGAGACGCTGTTCAGAACTACTTTCAGAGCAATAATTGTTTTAATAATAATGCAAGAGCTAAAGTTTTTATCATGTTAATAACGCGACAGAGTAATATAATGGTCCTGTATTAATATATATTTAAAGGAATGATTAACAATAATGATAATAATGGAACAATAATAATAATAGCTCACGCGAAAACCAGTTTAGTTGTATGTTAGTCTTTGTAAACATACAATACACAGTAACACGAACACTTGCACTGAAATAAGAAATGCACGAACAAATATAAATTCTTATTTATATAAATGTTCTTTTATAGACAGATAATCACAATGTTAATAATATTAATTCGCACAAGATTGTTACGGAGCAAGTTTTGGATTGGCTGAGTGAGACCCGATACATCGTGGTCACGTTTTCTATTTTCACTTGAACTTTTCTCGAAGTTCATTTACTATCAACTTTCTGTTTAGAGAAACAATTATGATTTATCATAAGTAAAATTTTTTATGTTCTACAATTTACGCGAGAAGTTGATGATTTTTTCAATCACTTGTCACAATCACCTGACAGACGTTCACTAATTTTTTTTCTCTCGGTATTAGCTTCGGTCACCTACAATAATGGTAATGTTCAATGACAATTTCCTATTTTAATTAAGTTCACCATAAAATTCCTCCACTCTTTCATCTCCAGAAATTAATGTCAAACCACATTATATACCTGAACTATAACCTAGAGTTCAAATCCATCTCATAATTCTTCTACGCTTTCGTCTCAATAATATAATATAATATACCTGAATCCCTCTGGTATTTCATGTGCTAGTAGCCTCATTATTCGGTCTAAGATACTTTCATTTTCCAAAGTGGTCTTCTCATGTTTGTTTTTTATGAATGAGGAAATTCACACGCCACTCCTCTGCCTGTTTTTGCCCTCTTGATGGTAAGAAATGCGACACTCCTTTAGTTCAAGTTGTTCTGCTTTTTTTTTGTCTCATTTTACATAACCTGACAGTATCCCATTCTCGTCTTCTAGCTTCTTTTCCTAGTTATTTTTGTTTACATTTAAGAAAAGTTATATTTCTACACGTGGCCAACCTCACTATCACTGTACATGCCCAAGATCACTAATTCACTATCGCTGTAAATGGCCAAGCTCACTATCGCTGTACATAGCCAAACTCACTATCATTGTACATGGCCAATCTCATTATCGTTATACATGGCTAATCTCACTATCATTGTACATGGCCAAGCTCACTATCGCTGTACATAGCCAAACTCACTATCATTGTACATGGCCAATCTCATTATCGTTATACATGGCTACTCTCACTATCATTGTACATGGCCAAGCTCACTATCGCTGTACATAGCCAAACTCACTATCATTGTACATGGCCAATCTCATTATCGTTATACATGGCTAATCTCACTATCATTGTACATGGCCAAGCTCACTATCGCTGTACCCGGAGATATTTAACACCCTCTCATTTTGTGTTCACCTTATTGCTATATTGACAAGGGATATGATCGTCTCTGGGGAGGAATATTATGTGGTTCTTGTGATTATTCTACCTACAGAGGGAATAGGCCATGAAGCACCACACTGATGCAGAACAGACTGACATGCGCCACACATTTGACAGATTTATTAGAATGACCGCACAAGACAGCTGACCCTTCCACGGCACAATGACCATTTTTTGTATACATCCCAGAGAACGTATGTATACATATTCCTGGTGCGTTGAACAGGTATGAGTTTGAGGATATGTATAAATGTATATAATATATGGATGAACTACCTACCATGAGTTCTTCTTATCTCTGGCCCAGTTATGTCACAAACACACACACACAAACTAATACTAATACTTTGCTGTCACTCGGAATCGAGTATGACGATCATCCAGCTATAATACAACGATTTCAGTCATTAATGATGTCACCTTCGTTGGTGAGCTTTGAGGTGACTCGAGAGGCCGATACGGGATCGGCAGGGCCCTAAACAGATGTTGCACGTGTGGAGGGCTACATCTAGTGCAGTCCTGGCGGCAGCGTCTTTCCGGCGCTGGCGTTTGTCTGCCTCGGTATGCAGTCGGGCTAACTCGAAAGTATTGACACCTCGCGTGGAGCTCCTCCAACCGTTACGGCGTGGCGTGATCGTCTCCCAGGTGAGGGGGTCGATTTGGCACTTTTCAGGTTTGTCTTATACCTTTTCCGTTGTCCACCAGCGTTAAGTTTACCATTCGTTAGGTGGCTGTAGCTGCTTTGGCAGTCTACTGTCGTCCATGCGGATAACATGGCCAGCCCAACGTAGTTGTCCATGGATAATGGCAGCCTCGATGTTCCTACAGTTGGTTTCAGCAAGAATACTGGCATTTGCTCTCTTGTCTTCCCAGCGAACTCGAAGGGGTAGAATGTTAACTACATTAGTGAAAGTTTTCAAGTGCTTTGAGGTACCTCCTGTATGTGACCCATGTCTCGCTGCCATACAGCAGGGTGGGGAAGACCACTGCTCGATTTACGAGCAACTTTGTAGATAATTTCAGTTCCCTACAGCTGAAAATACGGGTACGGAATCTGTCAAAGGCTTGAGATGCACATCTGATCCGATGTTCACTCTCTTCATCAATGTTCGCGGTGGTGGACAGGTGGGAGCCAAAGTACTGGAAGTAGGTAACATTAGAGAGGGTAGTACCATTAAGCTGGATGGATATTGGAGGCGTGGTTGAACCAGGGGCAGGCTGAAAGAGAATCTGAGTCTTACGTACATTCACCTCAAGGCAGAAGTGTGTATACGCATCTGCATAGGTGTTCAGGATCTCTTGTAGGTCGCATTCAGTGTGAGCGACGAGGGTGAGGTCGTCTACATACTGAAGTTCAGTAATGGAAGCGTCCGACACCTTCGTTCCAGCCTGGAATCGTTTTATGCTGAAAAGTCCCTTCATCCGGTACTGGATATCCACCCCGCCGGCTAAGTTGGCACTGGCATAAGTAAGGAAGGCAGCCAAGAAAAAGAAAGAGAGTTGGTGCCAGTCCACATCCTTGTTTTATCCCCGTTTGGATGGGGAAGAACTCAGACTGGGTGCCATTGTGTAGGACACTGCCGTTCATGCCATTGTGGATTTGCCTCACAATGGCAATGAATTTTGGTGGGCAGCCAAAACGAATGAGGGTACGCCAGAGGGCTTCCCTGTTGACCGAGTCGAAGGTCTTAGTAAGCCATGTACAAATCACGACATTCTTCTCTGTACTTTTCCTGTATCTGGCGAGCAGCAAAAATCATGTCAGTAGTGCCACGTGATTGTCTAAAGCCACATTGAGATGCTGGGAGGAAGTTCTCTGCCTCAGGAAAAAGTCTGTTTAGGAGGACTCGGGCGATAATCTTGCCAGCTATGGACAGCAGTGAGATCCCGCGGTAGTTGCCACAGTGTAACCGGTGTCCCTTGTTTTTTTTATAGATATTGACAATCGAGCGTCCCGTTGCTTTATACACATTAATGTTACCTGAACTAAGAAACCAATTTATATGTATTTAAATTGTTTAATCCAGTCATTTTCATATAATAACAGTAGTGCATTAATTGGCGTGCTGAGGAGCTTGTATTATGAGGTTTTGAAGATAATCTCAATTTTTGGGGGGTGGAGGGATTTTTTCTTGAAACTAAAAGTAAATCTATCAGGTTAAATTGGGTTAGGTTGGGTTTGGTTAGGTTGAACTGGATTTGGTTAAGTAAATTAGGTTAGGTTTGGTGAGATTACTTTACAATAGGTTAGGTTGAACTGCATTATGTTAGGTTAAGTTAGGTTAGGTTAGGTTTGGTTAGGTGATTCTTTTGGCTGAAAATAATCATGGAAATTAGCGAGTTTAACTCTTATAAATCGTTTACAATAAAAGAAAAAACGTCAGAAATCATTATCGAAAAATCAATTATAAATGGCAAGTAATAAGGAGGAAGACACGTGTTCAATTGTTGCTGGAATCATTACGACAAGTAAATACTAGAATTACTAATTACAAGAAAAAAGGTGTCTGAAAATTTGGAATCTCTTACAAATCTTTATATAGGCAGTCTTCAACAAACTGCTTTATACAATTAATTAACAATATTACCAACCTTTTGAGCCAAGTAAAATTAACAGTCAATCTTCTAATTTTGGTTGGAGTAAAACTATATCGCTTTGGCATTTAAACATAATTGCATTTTCTTTAACTTACCACAACTAAAATTACTTAACCTATTCAATAGCATTTCGTAAGAGAGAAGGTATGACCTACATGTGGACGACTATCAATAAGAAAAGTACAAAAATATGCATCGCCATTTAGCAGAAAGTAAGAGTATCAAGAATTTGGTAGTTGATGGTGACCTGCCTAGTATGTTGTGCTCGTGTGAAACTCTCAACTAAATCTTACTGTACACTAGACATAAGTTACTAAAAATTAAGTGTGATATTTATCTGTATGTTCCTTGCTAACTCTGGTTGTAAAACTCGCGTTAGGAAACAAAACTTTTCGATTTTTTTTTTACTTTACGTAGAAGTGAAAGTAGTTTAAAGTCATGGCCTATTTCTTGTGTGGAAATTTCCCTTTTCTTCATTAATTCTATAAACCTTTACAAAATATGAGGCATTTACTGAATGTGCAGTTTCTTTTTAACTTGTAATGAAATAATAACAAAAGACATTCCAGTTGCGACATTCGAAATGAATAAAAACAACCAGATGTGAAACTCCCCGTAGCCAACCAGCCCACCTGCCTCCACACTAAATCTTTAACTAACTAAAATATCTGGCATTTATAATATAATTTGATATTTACTATTTAATTTGCTCGACTAAGAAATCAATTCGAAAAAGAAGCAATATGTGTTGTTATTTTTTTTATGGAAATACCATCTGAGCGAACTATTACACAAAAAATGAAGGCACACCATCAACCTCTATACCGGTTGTTGACATGCTCGTGGGAATTGAATATCACTTTTGTATTCAGAATATATATCAGATGTCCAGAAGAAAAACAAAAACATTAAGGTGGCTTATCAGATTTTCTTTTGGAATGTGATGCAGAAAATTCTTTATATTACCAGACGAATTTTAAGGTTTATTCAATTTTAAATACAGTATCAAATATTTTGCCCAACTAAAGTGAGGATGATATTTATATTTTTATATTTTTGAACCTCCGCGTAAATATATAATAATGCATTAAATGATTGTTGTTGTATTAGAACTTTGTGCTTCAGCTGACAGGGCCTTTAAATATCATCTATGAGTGTTTGTAAATTATAGCAGAAATCTTTGTAGAAATATAATAAACACACACACACACACACACACACACACACACACACACACACACACACACACACACACACACACACACACACACACACACACACACACACACACACACACACACACACACACACACACACACACACACACACACGTTATTAAAGTCTTTTGTTCCAGTATAACTTTTCTTAGTCTTTTTATTGTTGATGACTATTTCATGTTCTTATTTAGTTGTTAAAGCGTTGAGATCTACTAAACATTATTAACAACACATCCACCAACCAACAAAACGACCAACCAACCAACAAAACGACCAACCAACCAACAAAACGACCAACCAACCAACAAAACGACCAACCAACCAACCAACCAACAAAACGACCAACCAACCAACAAAACGACCAACCAACCAATCAACCAACAAAACTACCAACCAACCAGCCAACCAACCAACCAACATACATACATCTGGCACTATAGTTATTTCGAGTACCCAAAAAATAAAAGTGGATTTACGTGTAGACACATTATCTAGACTATACACGAGGGGGGCATCAATACACAGCGAGGGTCGACTTCAACCTTTGACCTTCACATCACAGGATCTCTGGAGGTTGTCATGGTTCTATTTCCTTTATTACAGACATACTTCCCTTTCTTCGTCGACACAGACACCACTGACCGCCCTACTTACTTGATTCGTGTTACCTTCGTCTAGAAAGGTCAGCAGCTGGTATAGTGTAAAGGGAGACTAACTCATAGCCTACAGGAGAACACACACAGTATAGAAAGAAGAAATCATAGACGGGTAGTTGTCCATGTTCATATAACTTACTGAAGAACGTAGAGAGATAAATCATATAAAGAACGTATTAATATAGACGTTCATAATCACCGAACCTCGCTGTGTCATCCAAGTGTTTCGCTCCAGATTACATAAGCTAAGAATCATCCAGAAGTGATATGAAGATTTTTTTATCTCTGTGATGTAAGACAGGGCAAGGGGGCGAGTACAAAAAGTGGAGAGGGGGGAAGGCAGGTAGAGAGGAGAGGGAGAAGGGAGGTATATAAGCCACCTGTTGTGTCTTCTTGACATCACAAACGACACTCGCCTCCTCCTCCATCATGGCTTCTAAGGTAATCATCATTCCCTCTACATTAATAAGTTTTATAACTTAAGTTATCACTGCTCGCTTAAACTACAATAGAAAAGTTATAGTTCTTAGAGTTTTTAAGACAAAATATTAACCTTAAAAAGTAAATTATCTCCTTTAATTGGGGAATTGAGAAAGTATCGGAATGACCGACTTATTGGTTAAATTCTTCCTGAACTCAAAATATGGGAATACATGTAAGTTAATGAGATCATCTACAACACAAACATTAATTCTCAAGAGATAACACGTAAAATGCTCCCATTAATTGGTGATATTTAAAAGATGTAACTAGTTCACTTCTACAACAGAAGATTGGTAGACCAGAGTCCCTCCTTAACTAACCTAAACTAAGCTAAACTAAACTAAACTAAACTAAACTAAACTAAACTAGTAGGGAGTAGGCTTATCCACCAAACAGGGAGGTACTACCGCCTGGGAAGATATTGGAAGCACAATGTGTTGTCTAATGGTAGACCCTGCTGCCATATGGCATCACGAAAATTGTGACCAAGTCCCAGGTTGCTGATCTGACTTTCTGCCTCATTTACACACAATTGCAGGGTTTCGATTGTTTCTCTTACTTGACAACACAATATACATAAAGCGTTTCTCACTATTGATTTTTTTTTGGTGGGGGGGGAGGTATTTCTTTGTATTTCGTTATTATTATTGTTACTGTTGTTATTATCATTATTGTTATCATTATTATTTTATTTTACTTTTTATTATAATTTTATTTACTATGAATTATTACTATTAATACATTTTCGCCCCCCAGGCCCCGATGTAGGTCAGTGACCTGTGCCCGGGTGGTTTAATCCCCGTAAAAAAAAATTAATTAACTAAACTAAACAACTTAACTTAACTTAACTTAATTTACCTTATCTTAAGGTAATTCAACTTAACATAACTTAACTTAACTAAACTAAACGTAACTTAACTTAACTGCCTCACTTAAAATACTATAGAAATATGAATTCTTAGATCTTCTTACAATACGATTTTCTCTGAACTGGGAATATGAGGAAGCCTTTAACTTCCTCCTCACTCAAGCTGATACACAAACTTGACCTCCTAACTAGTGTCGACATTGCCCTGAGGCTCTACTGTAACTGCATATTTTTCTTAAGTCATGTATTGAGGAAAAACATCATCTTATGAACCTTGGCGACACTGAGTAATAGGTTTGGTGGGTTGGGTCACCTTCACTCGCTGCACCATCACATATCACGATAATTTTCACCAGTCATCATTTTTTTTAAGAACCTGTTTTAAAATTATGTGGATAAAAAAAAACTTTCCACTCACTTTAATAATAAATTTGTCTGTTTACTTTCCTATCTATTTATCTAATTGTTTATTTGACATATCACTACTCTCTGTCAGACAAAGTTTTTTTTTAATTAATTGCCTGATATCAATTAGCTTTTAATGATTATACATAACACATACACGGAATTTTAACACCTGTTAATGTATGTACACGCTGGGATATTAATTAATTTATCTGCGTTAGGTACTGTTCCTCGCTGCCCTTGTGGCCGCCGCCGTGGCCAGACCAGAGTCTCCACCAAGCCTGGGGTATAGTCAACCTGCCCCCATCGTGTACGAGCCGGTGGTAAGAACTTGCTTTCTCTCTTGCTCTCTTTTAATCCCCTACTGATGCCGTATGTGTGTGTGTTTGTGTGTGATGTGTGTGTGTGTGTGTGTGTGTGTGTGTTCGTGTGTGTGTGTGTGTGTGTGTACTAAGTTGAATATGTACATGGGTGGATTGTGACACAAACTTAGAATATCGTTTATTCTCCCTTTACATCTCCCTTCCCTTTCCTTCTCTTTAATCTCTACAGTATACACTCGGGTGTAGATCAGTCATGCTGTAGTAGGTTTGCCAAACATCAGCCCTTCAATTTGTGTTATACATGGCTGCTAGAAATTTGTCCTCACTATTATGATGGGTGTTCTTGTATAGTGCAGCATTTTGCCTTCTGTTCCAGGGTCCCGCTCAGTACGACTTCAACTACGCTGTGAAGGACGATTACGCTGGCAACGACTTCGGCCACCAGGAGACCCGGGACGGCTACAACACCCAGGGCTCTTACTACGTGCAACTTCCCGACGGTCGCTTACAGACAGTGACCTACTACGTTGATGGTGACTCCGGCTACGTAGCTAAGGTCGACTTCCAAGGCGAGGCACAGTACCCAGCTTACCAACCCGCCCCCAGCTACCAACCCGCACCACAACCCCAACCCATATATGGATAATTTAACGAACAAATATCAATAGCTTTAGGCTGAAACATAACTCTATGATTTATGATAGTACTCCTGTTATGACGTTTTAAATGAAAAAAATAATAAAACTTTCAGTTAATATAGTGTATAAAATACTTTCCTTCACATAACATTAGTAACATATGAATGCATTTCCGATAGGCGTTTGTCAGGAATATCTTACCCAAGTGATCCAGAGTTGTCAAATTATGAAGATCGACGGAACTCTCAATTACGAAGAAGTAAAGAGATATTGAATAATGATTATAGTGTGTCATAACTACAGTGAAGGTTATGTAGTTCATGATGATGTGGTGTCCATTAGGAGATTCATTTCGATGGCAGCAACTACTACAACTACGATTACCAGTGCTACTATTACGATTACTATTATTTCTACGACTACTATTACAGTTACAACTGCTACTCTACTACTACTCCTACAATTATTACTGCTACTACTACGATTTTTTTTTTTTTTTTTTTTTTTTTTAAACGTGGCCTCCAGCCTCCCCCAATAGCCACACCTTCGCCACCATTTATTTACCTTAATATTAAATATCCTAATACATAAGAAGCTATCCTATCTGTGTTAAATTAGTTGAGCCGCAGATCTATGCGGCATTCAGTGACTGTAGCCTCATAGTCAATATCTGCAGCAGTTGTCGGAGTAGGGGCAGAAGCTCTCGTTCCCCTGAGGCAGAGCAAAGCCGACCGAAGGAGAGAGAAGGACAGTCGACATCTCATCCAGGCTGTAACATAACTTCTGGGCTGCTGCTTCTGTTCGGAGATCAACTCCGCGAGTCTGGCGTAGAAACATCTTGCACTTGGGCCCATCCCACCAGAGGTTGTGAACACTAGAGGAGTGAAGCTGCCTTGATCAACGTTTTGAATTCTCTCCCCATATGCCCTTCTCTTGTCGTTCTCATTCCTCCTATGTGCAGCATCGAGAGCTAGGTTACGGTGACAAGCGGCCATGGGATCAAAAATCCTGATGTCGAAGAAAGCTCGCTGTCCCCGCGTCCAGAATCCTCGAGCACTGACGTCCACACGGGCTTCGTTAGATGTGTTTGAAGTCCTGTGTTGGAAGATCTCGCCATCCAATGGAAGGAGGGTCGGTTCTACCATGACGTCCCGGCAGATTTCCTTCAACATATTTGCTGTGAGATCCCTTACCTCGTCATGCCTCATGCATATGAAGCCCCCCTTCTTGCAGACCATGGCGTGATCGCCATCATAGGAAGAGCCACATACGCATTGGGAGGGCAAACCATCTACTGGCCAACCGTACCTTAGAGCAATGGCATCTGTAAATTCTTGTTTGTTAAGGCTGAAACCATTTGCCCTTATCGATTACTACTACTTCTAGTTTTTTTTAACATAATGGCCTCCAGCCTCCCCCAATAGCCATACCTTCACCACCATCTTTTACCTTAAAATTAAATATCCTAATGCATAAGTAGCTATCCTAGCTGTGTTGAGTTAGTTGAGCCGCAGATCTATGCGGCATTCAGTGACTGTAGCCTCATAGTCAATATCTGCAACTGTTGTCGACTTTGGGGCCGATGCTCTCGTTCCCCTGAGGCAGAGCAAAGCCGACCGAAGGAGAGAGAAGGACAGTCGACATCTCATCCAGGCTGTAACATAACTTCTGGGCTGCTGCTTCTGTTCGGATATCACCTACGCGAGTCTGGCGTAGAAGCATCTTGCACTTGGTCCCATCCCACCAGAGGTTGTGAACACCAGAGGAGTGAAGCTGCCTTGATCAACGTTCTGAATTCTCTCCCCGTATGCCCTTATCTTGTCGTCTCGTTCCTCCTGTGTGCAGCATCGATAGCTAAGTTACGGTGAAATGCGGCCATGGGATAAAAAATCCTGTTGTCGAAAAAGGCTCGCTGTCCCCGTGTCCAGAATCCTCGAGTACTGACGTCAACACGGGCTTCGTTGGATGTGTTTGAAGTCCTATGTTGGAAAATCTCATCATCCAATGAAAGGAGGGTCGATTCTACCCTGACATCACGGCAGATTTCCTTCAACATATTTGCTGTGAGATCCCTTACTTCGTCATGCCTCATGCATATGAAGCTCCCTTTCTTGCACACCATGGCGTGATCGACGTCATAGGAAGAGCCACACACGCATTGGGAGGGCAAACCTTCTACTGGCCTACCGTACCTTAGAGCAATGGCATCTGTAAATTCTTGTTTATCGAGACTGAAACCATTTGCCCTTATCGGTAACATAGTTAACCAGTTCGAGCCGCCCACCTCCTGCACTATAGCCACTTTTTTTTCAAGTTCTCTGGTACTTGCACCATCAGTTGCTGAAACTTATCACTTTGACCGTGCTGTCGTTCTGTCGTAATGGACCTTCGAATCTTGTTTACTTCTCTGGTATCCACCTCCCCTGTTGCGTTCTGAGCTATTATGTGGTCCCTGAGAGCTGCCGTGAGCTTAACTGAGTTTTGATGTTCGGTGGCAGCAATCTCCTCTGGATTGGTCAATCCCATTCTTCCCAGTCTCGGTGGTAGTGCAAGTAGTGATCTTTCTGCTACTACTACTACTTAACGTGGCCTTCAGCCTCCCCCAATAGCTACACTACTACTACTACTACGAAAATATAATGATGTTACGACAACTCCAAAATAAATAATTGATAAGGGTATAAAAAAACTATAATAACGAATAATAATATTCTTCCAGCCTTTCGGCCAGCATAACCAAGACCTGTTAAGTCAGGTTAGGTTAGGTTAGGTTTTCTTAGGATTGGTTAAGTTAAATTAGCTTAGGATATGTTAGGTTAAGTCTGATAAGGCTAGGATGAGGCTCAGTATTAGCCTGGGGTCTATAAGGACTCGTGGCCAACTCACCTACACTGTATACCAGTATATTCATAATGTATGATGTGAACGTTTTACATAATATACAGTAAAGGTATCAAAAAATTTCTATTCGAATACAAATAAACTTAACATAACAAAACCCTATCTATTTGTCTTTCCTTCTTACTCTTTATCAAACTATTTCTTTCTCCTTTTGTCTCTCATTCTGTGTGTGTGTGTGTGTGTGTGTGTGTGTGTGTGTGTGTGTGTGTGTGTGTGTGTGTGTGTGTGTGTGTGTGTGTGTGTGTATGTGTCTGTGTGTCTATAGTAGTATATCATATCTCCACTTCTCTTCTCTTTCTTTTAATTTCTCCCTTTCATTTCCTCTTTCTTTACCCTTCCTTCTATTCCTTTGTCTTTCTATCTCTTCCTCCTTGTCACTCTTCTCTTTCACTTATCATCAAAAGCGATGACTTACTCCACCAGGTCACTTAGGAAAGGTTACCTACCTCAGGCTAGAACAGTGTAGAGCCAGGTAAGATAGTGATGTGAAAGGGAAGATGTGGGGGGAGTGGAAAAGTGGGCGGGAGATATGAGAGGGTGGGAGGTGTAGAGAGTGGGCGGGAGATGTGAGAGAGTGGGAGGGAGGTGTGAGAAGGTGGGAGGTAAGTGTGAGAAGGAGGGTAGTGGTGTGAGAGGGAAGGAGGGGGAGGAGGTGTGAGGTGGAGGGAGAGGTGTTAGGGGTGGGGTGGGAGGTGTAGAGGGAGGGTAGGTTTGAGAGGGAGGGAGGGAGGCGTGAGAGGAAGGGAGGTAGGTGTGAGAGGGCAGAAGGGAGGGGTGAGAGGGGGGGAGGTAGGTGTGAGAGGGAAGGTGGGAAGTGTGAGAGGGAGGGTGGGAGGTGTGAGAGGGAAGGAGGGGGATGTGAGAGGGTAGGTGTGAGAAGGAGGGAGGGAGGAAGGGAGGGAAGAGTGAGAGGGAAGGTCGGGGTTTGAAAGGGAGGGTGGGAGGGTGTGAGAGGGAGGGTGGGAGGTGTGTGAGGCGGGTGGGAGGTGTAAGAGGGTGGTTGGGAGGTTTATTCATGAACACGAAGGTTAGTGTCTGAAATAATAAGAATTACGAAAAAATTCATACAAGCATACACAGAATAAAGACAGGTTTGACTCTCTCTCTCTCATTAGTCAAGAACCATATTATTATCACTAAGGTTCTGATATCAGGTTTTTCCAAGTGACTCTGCGTGTGTCAGTGATCAGCCTGAGGCGCGTCGCTCCGGCTCCCTCAGCTCAGCGGTGCATGACGGAGTGACCTGAAGGGAACTGGTGAGACTCTTTTTATGTAGATGGTTGCGTAAAGTTCCTGCAGTGGAAAAAATATATATATACATAGTACATATATTATGAGAGGATTAGTAAACCCCTTGATATAGGGTTTTAATTTGTATGCTGCAATCTTGTTCAAAGAGGCACTCAAGGGTAATCCGAATATCAACGTGAAGGATCACTGGATGGAACAATCATACTGCAAAGTTTTAACACTATCAGATATTGGAGTATATTACCTTATTCTTTGTTATCCAGACAAGGTAATTCAACTTGATAATCAGCGGTAGGCAATTGGTAAATTGTGGTAGCACCAGCTAATAATGTTTTCAGTCTTTATATTACCTTATGTAAGTCTAAAAAAAACGGTCACCAATTAAGAATTCACTTATAATTAGGCACAATTTTAATTTTGAAATATACCTAATTATTAAGCAAAATTAGTATCATGCAATACTAATAATTACGAAGATAATATATATGAAAGTATAATAATCACAAAATTAGATAGAAACTTTTCAAATTTTTCCTATTATTCATCAAAAATGATAGAAGGCCCTTGATAGAGCCTCATTAGTATACACACAAACTTTTTCCAACTTATTATAAATTCACAACTTCTCTAGTGAAATTCTATCACTCCATTCACAACTATAAATGTTCATAAACTTAGCCTGTACGTAAGTCCTAATCCAATGTTCTCTCATCCAGTAATTATCTTCAAACTGGTTACAGTACAAATACAACGGAACTTCACTGAACAATACACAGCCTACAATTAAACCCTCGAAATATATCCTAATCTCAGTAATCTATTCCAGGTAAAATAAATCATAAAATATTCACATCAATCACTAATGTTCGCTTTACAAAAAAATCATTTGGGTAAATAATTCACAGAAGTAAATATATTACACTAAGGAATATCAAGTATATCACTATTCTTTTTAAAATTACTAA